GAAATTGTCACTATACATAAACCAGCGATATTGTTTCCTTACCGAACGTGAGTGTGGTGGAATTTACTCAATTATAAATCGTTTACAATCTTTTAAGTAAACAGCAATAACTTGGCTGTTGTCATTGAGGGACGGGCACTATGAAATGTATATGGTTTTTTTAGGTGCAGGAGAGGAGGAGCGGAATGTTTATTCGGTAAGCAATTTTGGGCAAGTCACATGAGCTTAATTTTGAACTAAATTTCTAATACACACACATATACAGCAGCGGTGAAATTCTTAGTAGTTGATTTTAATTTTAAAATTTTTTGTCTTTATACGCTGGCAAACACAATACGTTGCCTTCAGTAATCATTTTTCTATCAGGGTGCTATTTTAAAAACACTAAAATTTCAATAATAGAAACAAAAATTTCAATTGAATAAATGAATTTCAGTTATTTTCAAATTTTACCAAAGATTTTCAGATAAATTTAGTTTTTCTAACATTTTTTCACGTACTTTTAGGGTTTTGACTGACCGAAAATACTTTGCAAATAAAAAGTACCACAATTGTAGCAAAAACAGAAAGCTAAGCGAAGGAAATTTTGCATTTCGTCTTCTGACACTAACGGTTTTTAAAGTAAATCCCAAAAAAAGATGTTATAAAAATGTTTGATCACATAAATATGAAGTGCTCAGCACTACTAAGATTTTGACCACAACTGTATATATATTACTGTATACGTATGCATGTTTGTGGGTACATTAATTTATTATCAGTCGACATTGTAATTAGAAAATTTAAAAACCAAGTCAATTAATATTGCATGTCACTAGTCCTAGTTTTTTCATGAGTTTCAACATATATCGCTTTATCTATAATGCATACTCGTATGTATACAAACATATGTAGTACATATAATATGTACAATTCTTCTTGGCCTAATTCGTTATAAATAATGCAAACATAGTAATCATACTAACTGAAGTCTAGTAAATATGTGACCATTAGTCATTTTATTTTCGTTTGAAATATTTAAAACCATTTAGATAAAACGGTATTGAAAGTCGGTTTTTATTTATTAGCGTAACTTTCGAGTGCATTCAATTTTTTTTTTTTTATAGCTATGAAAGATTTTTTATGCCGGTGATATTTCAAAATGCAAATATTCATTTTTTTATATATAATATTACCATAATTTTGTGTATGTCAGTTTTTATATTATAAAACAGTTTATATCAACCAACCCCTTTATTGTAAGATAACAGCTGTTACTACTATACGCTTTAATTCATATACTGTACTCACCTGCGTCGAGTATATATTGCATGCAGCCCAACGCACCGATGCACCCAACTCCACTAGAGTCTCAATGAGCACCGCTGTTTGCGCATTGATGTGCGTACACCCGACGATTTTCGCATCTTTTAGCGGTTTATCGTCGGCAGCGCGTTTCCGGAGTGCCATTATACCCGGCATCTCTTGTTCGGCTATTTCGATTTCACGCCGCCCAAACGCATGCTGACCGGCAATGTTACGCACACAAAAGTCCGAATTACCTTTGGTATTCTTTTGAACTTTTTCGCGTGGTGGTACATCGTCACCATCGTCTGAACTGCTGCCAGTATATGAGGCCGAGCTAAACGAATCCGTGGATGAAGCCGATAGAGACCGACTCCGATAGCGACTGGTCTTTTTGAGTGCACTAGACTTATTGGGTGCAGTTGTGGCCACCTCTTGTTTATCACCACTAGATCCTGGATCGGGCACTGGAGTGTCGGGCAGGTTGATCATATCGTGTTGAGACGTGTTAGATGTTTATTTTAACTTGAGTTTATGTTATTGTAGATAAATTCCACAATATAAAAATATGAAAATTTACGTTGTTCGCGTTGGGGTAGTTGGATGGAGTGGCTTGGAGTGTAACTCCTCTGATTGAGCTTACGATTATTGCTATAATGCAAGTATCCGTATGCTATTCCTTGACGTTCACGTAATGCTCACGTGATGCAATTGTTATAAAAATTAGTTTTTTATGGGTTTTCTCTTTTCGTGTGGGATGCACTATACTCCCCTCACAACGGTAATACGTAAGCCACTTTATTGGTTCAATGCGTTTGGCTGACAGTTCGCAGCAAGTGCTTGAAATAAAATAGAAAAACTTCTAGGGAACTTTGCAAAAACACCAAAAGGAATAACAACACAATGGGCACAACCACGAATTACGGGTGTTTGTATTGTGAAGTTAATCAAATCAATTCGAACAAGTCGCTTGTAAAACAAAAACTAAATTAAATGTTGCTTCCAGAAATACTCTGTAGAATCGGTGTATCGAACATCGAATGATGGAAGAAAGAAAAAGCGAAGTTAGTGATGCCAGATATTTGTAAAATTATTATTAAGATAATTCTAATGCTGACAACTCAGTCAACATAGCTACGCTACGACATGGTGGCATGATTTGATAAATTAAAGTTAAGTTTGGATATCGAAGGATTTGTAAGGTACTTTCATTATAAATAATTTAATATGTTTAGATGCCTTAATACATATTTATGTAAGTGAATAAGTCAGTTTTATTTATAGATCAAGATTAATAATACAGATATCTCAAGTAGTTATCAATAAATTTATGTAGTGAATAAGGATAATATATCTTTGTCAATGTTGCCTTCAGTCAGGTGTGGTAATACACGATCTAGATATACAAAATTAATTTTTATTAGTACGTAATTTCCGCAGTTGTACTTTATTTGAATACATACTAAAGTGCGAATGATAGAGATGCCCGCTCTCTGAATCGCGCTCTTCTTCAACGATATTTCCATGACACTGCCGTTCGTGCAGTAAAAGTAACTGTTGTTTTTGAAACGATTTATCACAAAATTTGCAGTAGAAAATTTTATGGGCTGCAAAAAGATTGTTATATATACATATATATGTTACATTTTTACCATAAATAATATGTATCTATGTAGGAATTACGTACATATTCCGTTTATAGACGTTTGACTTTCCAATTCAAACGAGTTTTTTGATTCCGTAGAATATGTTTTATGATTTAATTTGTGCCATTCAAAATGTGATTCCTTCGTGAAGTTTTGTCCACACAAATTGCAATTGAAAATCGGTTTCTTATTATGGTTACTATGACCGCGCAAATGCAAACGCAAACTTGAACGTTGAGTAAAACCTGTCCGATTAAATAAAACACATATCAAATACTGCATAATTTATACTTATAACTGCAAACCTTTTTGACATATTGAGCATTTAAAAGGTGTAGGATCCTTGTGAGTCAACATATGCTCCCTGCAAGCTGTTTGCTGGCGGTAACCTTTAATTAAAAAGCACAAGATAATTGTTATTGTACATATGTATATATTATTAACGCAGCTTACGTTTTCCGCAGACATCACAACAGAAGGGCTGCTCCTTTGTGTGTGTACGCTCATGATTGATTTGATGAATTTTTTGATGGAATGACTTCTCGCAAAATTGGCACTGAAAACGTTTTTCACCGTGTTGGCGCACATGATATTGAAATCGCATTTGTGTATAATTTTCGAATTTTTCATTGCAAATGTGGCATGTATAAGTGGAAGTAAGATGAAAGTTTTTGTTGTGCCGTTGTAGATGCAGCTGACTGCGAAAATGTTTGCCACATTGTCCACATTTAATCGAGTCCAGACGACTGTGTTTGTGTTTATGCTGGGACAATAGAAAATTTGATTTAAATCCTTTAGAGCAAATGTTACAAATGTATGGTTTTTCTTGTGGATGCATCCGTGAACGATGTTCTTTTAACAAGCAACGTTTAGGAAAAATAGCCATGCAAATGTTGCATTGCAAAGGCTGCCTAGGTGTGTAATTTGAGTCGTATGACATTGCATCTGTTTCCGTATCCGTAACGGTACCTTCCTCGGAGTCTTCATCTTCACTGCTGCTGATAAAATTCAATGGATGCAAGATATCTTCTGAAGGTCCACTTTGCAGAGTGCTATTTAATTTAATCTCCGGATCTGATTCAGCTTTTAAATATTCCATTGTCTCCATGTCTATTGGTTCTGTATTCATTTCATCAAAAAGTGGTGGGGGTGTACCCATAGAACTTTCCGCATATACAACTTCCTTATTGTATCGAGGACTTAGTTGGTTCTTTGGGCTTAATTGGGGAGAATTAAGTGTTAAAGCAGCACGTTCAGGTGTTTCTGGTGACTCCTCCACTAAATCTTCTGGATTAAACAATGCTGGACCAGGGGAAAAACGTGATTCACTTTTTACGGATTCGCCACGTGGAGACAAACGTCCCAAGCTGCCGGACTCAAGCAGCGTGTCCACGTGATTAATGTAAGATTGTAATAATGTCTGCGTGTCAATACAAAGATTGTGAAAATGCTTAACTCCGCTTAAACGTTCTAAACAGTCGTGACAAATCTGCTGCGGTAATCCATCGTTTGGCTTAATCTGTGAGAAATAAAGTTTTAACTTCGGTTCCTTTCTTATACAAAGCAACTTACATTAAGTTTCCAAAGCAACAATTCGTCATACACATCTTTGATTTCGTCATTTACATGGAGCTCGGAAGCTTCGTTGATAAAAACAGACTGAGACTCTTCCACAGCAGCAAATATACGTTTAAATTGTAATTGCCCTTCGCCATTATCTATCCTGCTACAAGTTCTACAAATACTTTCCAAAAATGTTTTGAGATCGTTGCAAATATCCGAGAATGTCAAAGACATTTTGCAGACCGAGAAATTTATAAAAGATTTTCAGCAAATCTTCTCGTAAATGAAAATCGTCCAAAAGATTCTACTAAAAAATGTATAGTAGTGATGTGGGTATTTTGCTTTAATGAGTAACCGGTATTAGAACGACATGTGCGGATATTTTTAAATTCAATATTCCGCGCAAAAACATATAGAGAAAAACTTATTTAATGTAGCTTGTTTTTATTGATATGTTCAACTTAATGGACACAAAGACTATTTATAATTACGAAAAACAAAATCTAATTAGATCTGACAATTTTTATTCGCGTTCGGGGCAAAAATTCAACAAATACGCTCAGCTGTATGAACACCTGTTTTTTGTTGTCTTTTCATTCCGCACATACCTAGTTATCAGTATGGAGTTGCCCATTCGCGAAATTTATGTATTTTTTTTGGAAATTTTTTTTATTAATTTTTACAACTTTAATTATTAACATGTTATAACAATATTTGTTTTGTATGATAGGTACATATGAACTATACATTTTTATAAATTTTTGAAACCCAATAAGGCGTGTAAATTTTTAATAAACATATTCGATTTTTAATTTAAGGTCTTCCACAAGTGGAATATATTGCACCATTGTTAAGCTAGGGCTTTACATTCCCTCTTTATATCCACAGATCTCAACATCATTTTCATCAGTAATTAAATGAGCTTCCTGCAGCAAGCCCGCTTCGTACATTTTTGTATTACTTTGTCGCTTCGTAGAAAAATTAGGTCCTTGCTTTGCATTCTGCTTCATGAAATCTACGACCAAATGATCATCTACCACAGACATTTCCAAGCTTTTTCCCCATGCAAGTAGAGCGAGCGGTCGTTCCGGACTCAGAGCTTGCGAAGGTGTTATGATGTGACGATATAAACAGGCTCGAAGTGTGTTTTGCAATAACTTTACTTGGCCACTGTAAGCGCATGGATGGTAAAGCATTACAATGGCTCCTTGAGATAAGGATGAAACATATCTTTGGGGAGGCATGAATATATATGAACCATATTTCGGGACAATTGGGCGGTAGGCACCATAAGTAGGCAACATCGTTTCATAGGTAATTGTTTCATTAAGGCACTTCACTGGCGATACGTAGGCTGGTGGGATAAAGTACTCAATTCGCAATGCTTCACGCTTCATATTAGGTGCGTATAAAGTGCGATTCGCTAAACATAGGTGCTCAAAAGATTGTTTAGCATCACTTGGATCATAATCGATTCCAATGTATTGCTGCGAATATATGAATTATAAAAAAATTAATATTATCAAAACAAGATATGTACACATTGTAAAACTATACCTTGCCATCATCACAAATTTCGGAGGCCGTAAGTCGTTTTTTATCGTACCCATTTAAGGTTTGACCATTTGTATAAGGTGGATAAGGAAACCATTTTCCCTTCCAATCGTCCTTAGGATGTGGTGGCCCAGGAAACCACTTACCTGTCCACGCTTCTACGGGAGTACGAGTTTTTTTCGTTGTCTTACGTTTCACAATAACCCGCTTTCCGTAGATTTCAACACTTATTAGTAATATTAAACAAAATATTATAATTGGCTTAATCATAATTCCATTGGAGGCGTAAATCGAAAGAAATGAATGTAAAAACGAGGAATTGAAAACATTGACGACGTTTAAGAATGTGAGACATAAAGAATGCGATGATGACACTTAATAGTTTGACAACTGCTATTCTCGGCTTAAACAGAGAATTTAATTGTTTTATTTACACACACATTTTGCCAACTAATATACATACACAGGAAGTTTGGTACATTGAAAAAGTACAGAGTAATCTGAATAATGATATATAAGTATACTTATATTAAAATGTTCTTTGCTTTTTATCTATTATACATACTGCATCTTGGTTGTGATCAGTTGAGTTCACCGTCTTCGTTTTTGAAATAAATAAAATAAGTGGAACATATATAGCTCATAATTTATTATTTTTACAACAATATGCTTATAAAGGTAGAAAATTACAAAATGCAATGCGGACATATATTTTGTAAATACATACTTAGTTCACTTCCATTCGTTTTTGGTATTGTTTCTTTTTTTTAAAGATTTGTACGAATAATATAATAAACAATTAATATATTTGGATGAAATTACATAATGAAATTTGTACCATATAAACCCAAAAGAAGGTGCAAATTTTATTATCATCACAATATATGTATATATTTACAATAATACCTTAGAACGCATAAAAAGAATTAACAAACAAAAAAAGTACGAAAAAAAGTTTTAACAATTATTAAACATTTTCATAAACGCGTACTGACGCATTGTTGATTCCCCTTAGAACGCATAGAAAGAATTAACAAACAAAAAAAATTACGAAAAAAAATTTCAACAATTATTAAACATTTTCATACACGCGTACTATTGCATTGTTGATTCCCTCTTAGAATATTTTTTTTATAACAATGTGTTAATCTGTCTTTTAAAATTTAAACACTTTTGAAACGAACATAAATTTACGTATTTGAATACTTAGAATGATACGCGCTTAAAGCTGTTAGTTCCTGAATCTCTCTTTAACATTTTTACTTAATTTGCTTGCCACTGTAAAAGGAAAATCATTCATATGCTATACTCTTTTAAGTCAATTACCAAACCTTTAGCGCTGGTGCCCCGGCACCCGTCCGTGCAGCCTCCTCCTCTCTCCTAGCAAGCTCCTCTGCACGTTGTTGTTGTCTTCGAACACTGTCAGGGTTTTTAATACCTCTATGTTCATTTTCTTCACGTCGTCGTTCTGCTGCTTCAAGTTGCTGACGTCGTCGGGTTTCCTTTGGAACGTAATTAACAGACGTTTAAGTAATTCGATTTGTGTGCTGCAAAATATTTCAAACTTAATTCTTTATTTTGCTTACCGGCGATGGCACCAGGTTAGATGATTCACCATTGCTTCCAAAACATGACGAGCACAACGAACCCATTGTCTTAAAAATATTTATCAAATTACAATTTTTATTGCGGTATAAAATATTTATATTCTGCTACAAATAGTTCCTTTTGTGCATCATTCGTCAAAATCAGCTGTTTTTTGGGTGGGTGGGTGTGAATTCAGTAAACAGAAAACAACTAAGTGTATGTTTAGTCGATGACATGATTGTTTAAGACCCAATTGGAAATATACTTAAAATTTCTAGACACAATTTTAAAAAATCCTGAACTATTGCATGCGAAACTTTTAAGTTTTGAATTTAGTTTTGGCTCCATTTCTTTCACCACAAAAAACTGTTAATTTCCGTAACGGACCCTATTAAATAATTTAGCAGTAGTGATCTCTGTCGATAGGAGATCATAAATTTTGAAATTTACTTTTAAGACCTTAATTTTCTAATAAATCTTTTAAAATTACTATCGTGTACTTTACAATCATTGTTTGTTATTAGTTATTGTTATTATAACAACACAAAAACACAATAAATTGAATATTAAAAAAAATCATCGTTAAAAATCTAAAATCACATTTACATTTCCTGAGCCATTTTTATTAAAATATATTAAATATATATCGAAATTTTACTGTCACTATAAATAAGATAACAAAAGTACGCGAACAGAGCTAATAACTCTATCGTCAATCTATTTTGACATTTTTCTTTGTTCTTTTAACCATGTGTTAACATGGTTAAATTTTCCGCTGATAAACAAAATAACAACACAATTGGAGAACAGCGTAAAGAACATAAGTGGCAAACAAAAGTGATTCAAAATAGAAGACGAAATTATTTTGGCCGCCGAATTGATAGAATTTGCCTGCATAAAGTGCTCAACGGTCGTGTTTTGCGTCAACAAATATTCCGCACAAATTTACCGTAGAGCAGGTTAAAGTTTATTTGTTTATTCATATCATAAATAGCGTGCAAAAAGTGTTATATTCTTGCTCGAAAAAATTATAATTTGTAGTGTGATATTAATAAAATGTTGAATGTTCCAAATGAAAATAAGGTGAGTAGCATAAAAAATTAATTAACAGACACTGGTAATAATGTTATCACATTATACTAAGTTTGTGTGTGAAACAACAGTTTATTATAATTTCATGTTAATAACAGTATGTCGCTATTGAAATCATAATTAGTGCTCCTATATGAGTTAATGTATATGTAGGTAAATAAGTGTCCGAATAAATGCTGTCAGCTGTCTTCTGCTGCTGCCAAAACGACCTTCAATTGACCTAAAGAACATACACTGTCCTCCGCATTGGGCAAAACCGACATTATAGTGCAGCGTCCATGTCTTCCACAGTTTTTGTACATATGTATAAATATTCGTAGGTATGGTACACATGGGTGTATGTGCATACATATTATTTAAAAATGTCATAGGCAGCTTCATTTGCACTCCACCTCCTTTGCATACGTTTACCTACCAATAACTTGCGTTGGTGTTAAGCTTTTGTTTTTGTTTAAAACGTGTCAAAATTGGTTTTTAAGAAATGGTAGAAAAAAGAACATTTGAGTAAATAAATTTTGGATACATTGTTTTTATTAAATGTCTTTAACAGTTTTAAACTTTGAATTTTTAGAATGTATCCATGTATATTTATAAATAGGTATGTTATGAAAAAAATCGCCATCAATCAAAATTAGCTTATTATTTTCGATTGTATCATATAAGCATTTAATAACTACATATGTACAATACATGTTAATAGAAAATAGCAATATGTAAATACTAAAATGTCACTGTAAATGTTACGTACTTACTTAATGAAAATTTCTTGTTTTATAAACTGAAAAATCTATGCATGTATGTAACTAGTTAATGTGTTTCTGAAGATATTGAAATTTCTAAAAATAAATTTAATTCAGTGATATTCTTTCTGTGACGATAAATGACGTGAATCGTATAACAGAACTCAGCTGCTGCCTGCTGACACGGAAGCGGTTTACGATTTGTGTGACTTTTTTTAAAAAGGTTACACACATCAATTTTTGAGAAGGGATGGATATTTAATTTATTGTGAAAGCTTAGTTTAAGCGTTTTTCGGTTACTCGTGATCTTACTTGACTAAAAAGTATTGGAATTTAAACAGAATATAAAAGCGATTGCACACGATTTGAACTAAAAATTATAATGTCTGCTTTAGATCATTAATTTTTTTTTTAATAAAAAGTAAAGAGTTTATTCAAATCGTTATTCAAGATGTGTATATAAAGATCATTGTAATCAGAAAAGGGCCACTGCAAGCTATAAATGTCAGACAAATACGAAAAGTTTCCATAAATTATTGCACTATTTGTACGAGTTAGTTTGTTTATATGTATGTATGTAACATTTAAAAATACCATCCCGTGTACATATGTAAAGAGGCACAACTGAGCATTGATAAGAACAATTAAATAGGCAGTCGTAATAAGGGAGAGCAACAAAAAATTAATGAAAAAGTGATGAAACTCTGTTTGATAAGTGACAGTCGTAGTGATAAGGTCAGTTGGCACTGGCTAAGTGATTGCCAAACAAACTTTTGTAAATTAATTGCATGAATGTTTATAGCTGATAGTATGGCAAACTGTAATTTAAGTGTGTACTGATTATTTATTGCTATAAATGAAGCAAGTGTTCTGAAAGAAAGGAATCTTACGAGTTGTTAATTTTATAACACTTTTCAATAAATATTTAAGTATGGATATGGACAAACAAAATCCGTTGTAAAGGAACTCAAAGAGATATCACTAATAATTTCTGAAAAAACGCTGACTCAATCCGACTATTTCACAGCAGACTGGTTGCATCTCAGTCAAGATTGCGAATTTTTTAATTAAAGTATTTTGGATTAAATAAATTTTAAATTTTTAATCAAAGTTGTTTGGGCTTTGAAAAATTAAAAATATTTATTTAATATAAATTGGAGATTTACCATTTTTCAACCCGGTAGTTAAGAAAAATTTAATTTTTGACTTGTGACCGATTTTTAAATATCATTTTTAATTTCAGATTCGGTTTTTGGGATTAAATTTTTCTTCTATCTAATATTTGCGTTTAAAAATTAATTTTTAATATTTTAGTCCGGTATTTAGGATTAGAAATTAAAAATTAAAATTTCATATTCATTTCATTCAAAGGTAATAGGTTTTAAAAAATAAGAAAAAATTAATTTTGCTCCATGACGTTCTGTGTACCATATCGGTTTACTCTTCGACTTATACACATTTTTTTCCACCTTTCGAAGATATTGTCTATACTATTCTCACAAAAAACTAAGCACCTTATTACTATCCTTTAAACCTCCTCAACTGATAGCCTCACCATTAAGGTCAGGGTCAAAAAAGTTGAAATGACTAGATTACTGGTGGTACCTACTGTACTGTTGCATGACTGATAACAGCAACACTATAGAAATGACCTAAGTAACCCCTAAAATAAAAGTATAGCATACAACTATGAAGAGATTAAACCGTCTCTAGAGGAGGCGTGTTAATAACGGGGTGGGAAAATTGATGGGTAAGCTATAAAAAAGGAAATGCTCAATAGACCTCCATACACATTTTAGACTAATTTCAAGTATTCAACTTCAAGCAATGTTGGTTTGTGTTGTTGTTGCACTAGTAAAACCTTTCCCACTCATTTGATGAAATTTTGCCATGATCTTTAAGGAGTATAGATTTGTTTTTCATTCTGTAGGCGCTTTTATTGGTTGAAGAAACACTCAAAAAAGCTGTCAGCATCTATGCTACTTGTAGGAGTTTCTTAATAAAATGTTTTTAGACTTAAAAAAAAAATATATATATTGTATATATATATGTATATATATAGCCAAAATATTAATTATTCAATGCATAACAGTATAATGAAGGTGGCCGGGAGTTCAGTTTCAATAACAGTTAAAGATACTGGCTCTACGAGACCTCTAATCTAAATCCTAAATAAATGTATACTTGTATATATGTATATATATAATGACTTGACACTAGTGAATGTTATCAAAGGTCTAAGTGAAGTGATAAGGAAGACACACACACGTACATATGTATATACACATCCTTATATAAAATTCAAATTCTAATGCACCTATGTATGTTGTTTGTGTGTGCTTTTGACACTATTGGCGTTTAGATAGGTCGCTCTTACTAAGACTGCTGGTGCTGCTCTGGCTATGCAAACGTTTTGCGATTACAATCTCCATTACTCAAACACACTTACTATGCACGCTCGCACTGTGACAATATGCTGATAGCGTGCTGCAAACGCTTATCTACGAAAAAGCGTACATATGTAAATTGGTATATGTGTGTATGTAGCGAGCATGTGTGCGTCTAAGTAAGTAAATTAATTTAGCTGTTAACTCTCTTGTTGTGCTCGCCTGCGTCTTGATGCTAGTTAATAGACACCCTCAGTACTTTAATGAGCGAGTCTGTTTCTTGACTTCACTAATATACATACTTACATATATTATATATACAGATGTATTTATGTATATATGTATGTGTATATGTGTGTTTGTGTGCTACTGTGTTTGGTTATATATGCACATATATGCGTGTTTTGTCTCCTGAGCCCACGATCAGCTCGCACAAATATAAAATTAAGTTTGAAAAAGTCGATGTTTTCAATTGCACAGTCTCGTCGCGATCGTTCGTCAAAGCGTTTGCCACCCAAAAGTTGACGCGCTCAACGCTTAACGCTTAACAATAATTATTAATCATATATAATAATAAACAAATGTGTGGTGACTATTAAAAATACATTTTCTTATTGACTTCCACGTTCAGCCTTAAATACGTACATATGTACATACATTTGCTGTCTGTTTAAAATAGTAAAATTAAAGTAATTATAATTACCATAATTTGGATGAACGAATAAATGCGCGTACGAAATTCTGAATAAATTTGAACTATACCAGTGTTGGCGCTATGAAACAAGTGTATTTTGTTGCGAAATAAAAACAAAAATATTGAAAAAAAAAATAAAACAAATTACGGAAAATAGTACAAAATAAAAATTATTAAAAACGGCTAGCATTAAAGTAATTAAAAAGAATTTAAAAATAAAACATGAGTATTTAAAAAAATATATATTTTTTTGTTTTTAAATATATGTATATATTTTTAAAATAAACTTAAAACTAGTATGCGGGTGTACCTAATCAGAAATAATTTATATATATTTTTATTTAATATATCATTTGAAATTAATGTTTATATTTTTATTTTAGTTTCCAAAATTAAATATATTTTATTATTTCAGCAAAGAATTATAATGCGAGTGTAGTCACAGAATTCAAAAAAAATATATATATTTTTAATTTCATTTTTTAATATTTGTGTTTTTAATATATTTGTTAAAAGGGTTTTGTTTACACCAAATCAGTGTTTTCTTTCATTTTAGCTAAAAATTACACTCACTTAAATCAGAAAAAATATATATATTTATTGTTTTTAAAATCAATTTTTATTAAAGTTCAATTAAAAATTAAATTTGTATAACTAAAAATTTTTGCGTAATCAGAAAAAATATACATATACTATTTTTTAATGCATTCTTTGAAATAATTTTTTTTATATTTTTATTACTCATTTAAAAAAAATAACTACGCGAGTGTACTCACTAAATTAAAGAAAATATATTTTTGTAAATAAGTATTTTTATTCTTTTTTTAAATACGTTCTTTAAAAATATTTTTACATTACATTTTACAAAAAAAGTATTGGTTTTGTCAAAAAAAAATTTTTTTTTTATTAATTATAAATTATTATGCGAGTGTACTCATTAAATTAAAAAAAATATATATTTTTTAAATATTAATTTTTACGCTTTTTTAATATTCTTTAAAAATTCTTTTTATTATTAGTTTTTGCAAAAAAAGTTTTTTGATTTAGACTAAAATTTATTACGCGAGTGTAATCATATACAAAATAGATATATACAAACTATATTATTTTTTAAATTTTACTTAATTTTTTTTTTAATATTTTTTAGTTGCGAAAATTTATAACCAAGCATACTCATAAACAAATATAATAAATAAACAACAAAACAATAAAAACAAACACAATGAACGCCATCGATATTCTTTTGGATCGTGTAAGTGTTCTATCTTCATTCGCACCACCGCTAACTATTTGCATAGCAATAGAAATTATGTGTATTATCAGCATTTGTTTTCATAAGCAAACAACAACCATATTGAAACACCTTTGCTAGGGGTAATGAGGAGTTAAGTGGGGGTCAAATTACGTATTTTCTGCGGTTTTTATCGCAGTGTGTTTGTTTGTTTATGCAGTACAAAGTACATAACTGCCGGCAAAGTGGCAAAGAGGCGGCAATGGCTTCCTAATGAGTTGGTGTTGGTTAAAAGTGTCTGATGTGTAATGAAACGCAAACTTACATACACCTATAAGTTCAAGTTATAATTATGCTACACAATATCAAATATTCGAGTTGAGGAGCTTCTAATATGTGAGGTGCCCTCATTGTTTTTTGTTTATTTACAGAACTTTTGAAGATTCACGCAAGATCACTAAATTAATTGTTTTTAAGAAATCAGAATCAGATGAAACACAGTTTCCACGATTCATACTGATCTCTATAGTATCTGCCTTTCCGACAAAAGCTGTAATATGGCTGTAATTATTTCTACCAATTAGGCAACGGACAGAAACCTCAACATTTTTTGATAAAAAAAAAATTTTTTCGGTGAATTCGAGTTAAATTTGATTTAGAAGTATTACTGAATTTTTGTTCATCGATTAAGGGTGCCTCACTAAAAGAATATTTTCGAATTTTTGTTTTACCGTTTATACCGATAAAAATTCAATAAAGTTTATCTATAAAATGAAGCCAAACGAAATATCGTTTTGCCTTCTCCGAAAACTACTTCCAAAAACAGGAGCTCCGAAATTTTTAAATTAGTAACTGAACATTTTTCAATTTAAAAAAAAACTAAATAAAAATAGTTCTAATTTTAAAAAAAATTATTAGTTTATAAAAATGTACCTTTTCTTTATAAAAAATAAGTCGAATAATTTCAAGAAATTTCTCATTGAAAAGCTGAAAAAAAAATCGTATCGTAAACTTTAGGTCAGCTAGTTATTTTTATAATGGAATACTATTCTTTATATACGCAAATATTTAGAGGTACTTTTTTCGAGCGTTGAAATTTTGAAAATTCATAACTCCACAATTTTACATATTTAGTCGAAATAAAAAAAAATGTGTCCAATATTTTGCCTCAAAGAAAACAAAAGAATAATTATTTTGCACGAAAAAAAAATTGAATGAAAATTTTGAACCATGTTCTCGTATACATTTAATCGTTCGAATGATAAGAAGATATCTACAACATACCTCCATTACATATGTACATATAATATTATATTATGTATGAAGAGCATAACTTCTAGTATTTATCTTTGGCTCTCAGCATGATTACAGTTCAAGTCTAGTATGACTTAACTAGTCTCACGACTCACGAGTGTTTAGTAACGCAAGCGGTAAGCTATTGTATATACTCCAAATTTGTATAAAAAAAATTTTTTAAAGTCTTCGATTCAATTTCCCGAAAGTAATTCCATGAGCTGTTTTAACTTAAGCATACAGTCTCTTGACCGTCATAAATTCACCTTTCATTCATAACATTTATAGGGTCTACTGCTGTTCCCACAGTGTTGCGCAAAATAGATGCAACTTGAGTTAATTAAGTTTACGTAATTCTAAAAATTTTTAATGTTTAATTATCAGTGTTTCAGCATTTAAAAGTGTGACAAAGGTAAAGCAAGGCGCATTATCGATTTCGATTAAATGCAGTTTTCGATAAATTCTTCTTAACAGTGCTCATTATCATAACAAAGAAAAAAATATAACCCTCATACTAAGTTGGCACTTTGTTCAAGCATTTCTATAAATTCAAGTGCTGAAAGGTTGAAACTAGACTTATTTTGATCGCTCGATGAAAGAAGCCATATTTTATGTCGATTATAGTCATATTTCAAGAGGTTCATCCGAACGTTGGTGGTGACAACAATTCGCCGTTAAGTCGATGAGCGAAGAGTCTATTCTGAGAGCACACAGCCTCTCAAAAAGCCTACTATCCCCGAAATATGGCAACACAAATTTTCATTAAATAGTAAGCAATATTTTTAACATTTAAAAGGTAAAAACTGCAAGTGTTTTTAGTAAGCTTTTTTTTCAGAGACTAAATCTTACAATATTTGTTATAACGTCGTGAAACGCTGCTCGTTTAAGTCTGCACCTGCTATATTTACTATTTTTAGACTTTCCTAGTTTTCGGGCACATGATTCTTTAATTCTGCGAATATCTCCCCGAAAAATAACAGGCATATTAAATTTAATTTTTTAATATTCAAAATTACATCATGCTTCATGCAATCTGTGTGTTTGTTAATAAGTGGATAACAGTATTATTTGGCGTTTCGACTAAATATAGCCTTTTTGGGGCTTCTATTATGTTTTAGTTTTGCTTTTTCGTGGGCCTCTTTATCAAATTAATTGAATCGTTGATCAATAAAAATAAAGAAATATTTTGTAGACTGGAGTGTTGCAATGTATTAAAGGGAAATGCCATTGTTCTAGTGTTCCCATCACAAAAATGATCCCACACATACTTCCAATTGTGTGAAGCAGTGATTAAACGACAAAAAGTGTGATTTTCCTGACTTAAATCCTATAGAATCACTAGATAATTTTTTAAAATTTGTTTGAGAAATCATGCATGTAATTAAAAGTGAAAAAGATGCGAAACAGTAATCAAAAATAATGACTTTCAATTAATTTATTATCAAATTCATTTAGTTGCATTAGTTTTGCGCAATACTATATATTTACTTGCATGTATTATGTGAACATGTATATATACATATATGTGCCTTCATTTTTCAACTTCTTTTTTCCTTTCTTATCAATTACAAAAGTAATTAAAGTGTGCCATTTTGCGGTTTGTTAACAGCATTTTGTTGACTTGCACATTCATATACATCCGTTTACTTGTCTGTGTGTAGACATTTGTCAATTCAAACTCATATGGATGCGCATATAAAATACAGAATGATAGTCTCTTAAACACCACACTTAAGTGCGCGTGTTGTCTAGTACCCTATAAATTTAAATGTCTAAATATAGGCATGTGATTAGATTTAAACTTGTACCCCTCTACTTCGGCAAGCAATTACGCATTAGTTTCTGACAGCTTTTTTAAGAACTTTGCCATATTCTATACATCAGAGTTTATCCGAGTTAGCGATAGTTCAAGTTCATTGTTTCATTAAACATTTTTCAATTTGACTGATGAGACCGAACCCAAGGCATATTTAGTTAGTTTGACGCATTCAGAGTTTTGGTTACATCATACAATAAAGTCATTACGAAGTAACGACTAGTGAACCGAAAAGAGAGGGAGAGGGAGGAGGAGAGGCTACTGGTTTTCGTATATATTCACGTTTGTTCCGCTACCCCAGCTGATCTCGACGAATTTGAAAATTTTTAACTTGTTGCGTCGGAGACTCTATAAAGTATAAATATACAAGTATGGTAAATAATCAGCGCTTAAGAGCTGAGTCGATTTAGCCTATATGTACGCGAACTAGTCCCTCAGTTTTGACGTCCTTTGCTTCCCAAGAAGCCGCCAATTTGTCGGAATCGCCGATAATCGGACCACTGTAGCATATAACTGCCATACAAACTGACCGATCAAATTAAAGTGCCTGTATGGAAAACTTTTCTATTTGACTATATACCTTCACGATATCTGGCATAGATTATTATACATGGCAACACTACCATCTCCGAACAAATTGAACAGATCGGACAACAAACTGATCGATCAAACTCAAGTCCCTATAAGGCATAGTTTGGCATAGGCTATTATCCGTGGCAATACTACAATCTCCGAGAAAATGTATCAGATTGGACCACTATAGCATAAAGCTGCTATTCAAAGCGATCGACCAAAATCAATGTATATATCTCTTTCCGTTTTTTCTTGTTTTTTTTTCTGTTTTGTGAGATCCATGGATAAGTCCATCCTCATAAGTCCTTTGACTTCAAATAAATACCATAAATCCAAAATTTTAGAAATTGTACACGGAGATCAAAGGAAGGAATGATTTCTTCCTTCTTTCTATAATTTATTTAATAAAAAGACTACTATTCACTATTTTGATTAATGTCTATTCTGACACTTATACAGCTTATCCTTCTCGATAGCTGAATAAAAGGCTAAAACGAAAGTAGCTGTAAAGCCACATTGAAAGACAGCTGAGCTGAAGACTGCATCTATCAACATAATGAATTTTGATGCAGCACGATAATTTCGTATCGTTCAAAAATATCAGTTTTAAAACCTTAAAGAAATCTTTTGCAAAATTAACCTTCCGATTATCGCCTTTTGTCTGGCTTCTTTATCTAATTTATGTTGTTGTGTCATAGGCCAGCAGATATACTGTGTTTAAGAGATAGTAATCGGTTATTTAGTCAAGTTTAGAATCACACAAGGACAAGTTGGCTCCGTGAGATAGCAAAGAGCCACAATGAGACTTTTGCATATATTTCGGTCATGTGCTAGCCTCTTGATTTGACTCTAACTTTTTCGGACTTTAAATATTTCGATGTCCAAATTTCTTCTCCAGGTTAGAAAGGGTCAATAGCGCTCCGGCGATTATGTCTGGATCTCATCTCAGAACATGCCCGAGCCAGCCACATTTTGTTTTGAGAATTTCGGGCCTCGATTAATGTCTAATAACTTCTTCCAATTTGTTGCCGAGCTGCTGTTGGGGCTTAGTGTAATTTAACTTTACTGGAATATTAAATTTTTAGCTAGCGTCATAAATCTAAGCAATTCGTGCTATCTTTTGACAATTATGTTCCTCTTCCTTTGTATTTCCTAATATACTTGCTTCAGCTCAGCATTCCTCATCGTATCAACTTTTCTATCGTTCTCACTAAAATACAAAATCTCTTCCATCTTGTGCACGGTTTGGTTTTAGGTTTTCAGATTTAGAGACATATGTTAGTATTGTTGTAATTGTTTATGGTGGAGCCTGGCACCAAAGGCAACTGGTATTCGGCGA